TGGACTTCAACTCCCAGAATTCCTCAGCCAGCATGCTGGCTGGGGAATTCTGGGAGTTGAAGTCCACACATCTTAATGTGGCCAAGGTTGAGAAACTGTACTACAGGAATTGGGCAATAAGATATGGAGTGTGCATGTCATATAATGAGCACACACATATTCTGGTCAATGGGCTCTGCGTTTTTGAAAATTGGCACATGAATGGGGATGCCCACGTTTGTCTAGGTGGGCTGTGTATAAGGGAGGGTGGCGTAGCTCTGCAGCCCCCAGCTTGGTGGCATTCCTCTCGGAGTGAATGCATTCCTCGCCCCACCAGAAAGGAGGTCGGAGCAGGAGGAGATGACCCACCAAGAGACGTTTTTTAAAATGTGGCTTTGTTTTGAACATCTCTGTCCCCAGGTTCAAACTACGAAGGCAAACGTCAAATGAAGGTTAGCAACAAACGCACTGTCTTCTTGCCTCCCGAGCTGCTGCTGTCCACTTACCTGGAGCAAATGAGCTGATACCCAGCGGAAAACGATATCCCCGTCCCACCCCCCGGGCCTTCTTTGGAGACGTCTGCTTTCATTGTTTTGCAATATTCAACACCTATTATGTTACGCAGGGGTAGGTTCTCCCACCTTCGGATACGCCAATCTGGCACACTGTTAGCCTATTCAGGAATTGGGACCCGGATGCCCTCTGCAGGTTGCGTAGGGTTGCCTAGCAACTCTCCGTCTTTCCTCTTTGCTGCTTAGACACCTGGAGGCTGCAGAGGTCCTGGGTGGGAGTGGAGGCGGTTGCCTTAAACCCAGTTAGGGATGCTCGAAGCCAGGCCTGTGGGATCTGTGACCTCTAGACATTGTGAAACTACAAATCCCAGCATGCCTTACTTTTGGCCACCCAGGCTGGGGCTTTCTGAAAGTTCCACCTGAGCAACCCAGGGAGGCCAAAGCAGGGAAGAACCTCCACCCCATAATAAATCACAGCTCAAATATTTTGTTTTACTTAGGTTAAACTTTTCTACCCAGGCACTATCCAGATACGCTGAAGTCCAGTCCCATCATCCCCAACCACCTCTATCAATTATCTTGTTGGTTGGGGTGATGAAGACTGTAGTCCACCACGAGTGTTTTGTGAGTAGAGAGGCAATGTGTAAATTGAAATAATGAGTAAACAGTGTGATGTATCGACAGCACCACATTGGGGGCTTACTGTAATCAATTTCTCATGCAGTCCAAATATTGCCTAGAAGCACTCAGTTTTTCCCACGGGAGACCACAGGACACAGTAGGAATTCAACAGTTTGGACCTCAGTTGCGCTTCCTTTTTCATTTTCACCCTTAAAAAATCCTGAAGGTATGGCAAAAGCTTTAAATCTTCATTCTAAATGATTCAGCAGCACACAAATTTAATTAATGCTGTCAACAGCATCTTGGGAAGGCCTCTGTAGTCTTTGAGAGACTCTTCTGGAGCTATCAAATTGTTCCTTGTATCTCCTAGTTTAAGAAGGTGTCCCTGATTTAGGCAGGAAGGAGTTAAAAAGAATGAATGATTTTTTAATAAGGATGCCTTTAAGCTTTCCTTTCTTTTGTACTAATGGGAGTGGTTCACCTAAAATGGAACTGCCTAAAGTTGGTACCTTTGTTTCCCTCTGCAAGTTCTTCAGGTTCAAATGCCTGTTGATGTGAAATTCAATTCTCCACATGCTTAGTCAGAAGGGAGCCCCATCCCTATCTCCAGGGCTTGCTGCCAAGTAGGCAGATATAGAATACTATATCGAGTCCATTTTTTAAAAAGTTTTTACTTGAATCATTGGATATTTTTAAACAGCTATTAGCACTATAAAATACCAGGCTGGTTTTTAAAAAAAGATATTTTGTGGGTTTGCAAACTCTCAGGATCAATTGCGTATCTTGATCATGACATTTAACTTTCCACTTCATAATTTAAGTGGCTCAGATTACAGTAGGTTTATATTATCCATGTTTCTTTGAGTTCATGGATAATAAAAGCTGGCACGCGCTCTCTTAACCCAGCTGAACACAGAAAACAGAGGCGTGTGCAGGATCAGAGGCTTTCATCAAAATAGCAAAAGGGGTATCGCAGTATTGCAGGGCGAGCTCTGCCCTCTCTGTGTTTGCGTGTGAAGTTACAATGCCCATATAAAATGGGTGGGGCTTGCCATGTGATGGTACAATGCTACTTTTCGTCATTTGCCCCTTCATGGCTCCCCTATTTCCCACAGATGCCTCTGATAATAACTAGCCATTTTGTTTCACAATGTGCAAAATACCCTAAAAACGTTGATTTGGAAAAATAAAGAAAAGGAGGCTGCGAAAAGGAGAGGGCAATCGTGCAGGAAGAAAGTGCAGTTTCTCTCCCCATACTCTTCCTGGTGAACTCTCTACTATCTGCCCATAGCAGCTGTTGCCATCCTCTTAATATTCTGCACGCCTATTTATAGATCAGTCGGCTTTAAAAATAAAGACAGTTATGCTATTGGTGTTGCTTGACTTCAGCGAGGAGGAGCAGAACAGCAGCTTTGGTTTGGCTTAATTAAGCACTGGCAAAGTGTGGTCCCATTAGCAGCTGAAATGCTCCACAACACAGTTGGGTTGCATGTTTTCAGAATAGCAGCCCGTTTCCTTTGTCCCAAGCTTCCTATTTTCGGAGCAAACTGCTGCTAATCATGAAGGGTTTTTTGGTTTCTGCAGCCATGGAAACTCACACCTCATTTTTGGGGATGCGCTCTGAATTCATACGTCATGCTAAATTATAGTTTACAGAACAAAACAACTGCTAGATTCACCCGTAACATTATACTGCCAGCCGTGTTTCAAAAAAAAATCCAGCGGCTGAGTTCATACAACCTACTAAGCCATAACCACATAAATATGATTTCGTGTGATGTGTGAATCCTGTTGTTGCACTACGGATACTGCCCTTGGTCATTCTGTGCGGAAGAAGTGGTGCAAATTGGACGTGCATCGTTGGATGTTTGCTTTGCTTGCTCCATTGTAGGCACATAGCTTTTGAAACTATGTCTCTCCCCGCAGTAGTAACGCCATCCTGGAACATCCTTTTTGTATTGGCATAACCCGAACTAAATGAAGTTATTTTCTAAATGACAGTTTCAAAGTCCTACTTCAAACCATTCTCCCAAACCTGACCACCCTATTGTTCAAAATGTAACATAGTGTATTTTTTCTATACGTACATACATATGTATATTCACATGTATATATTAAGAAGAATTTATTTCAGTTCTTCAAATTGCTGGGTATTAAGTGACTCTGATGGAAATCAGCCTTCTCATTGCTATGACAGGATCTGAAACTGCTCATGCAAGGCTACTGGTGTTTTTAATCCCTATTATCTAAATGAAATGAATTATCTGATGCCATAAACTGGTTCAAAGTGACGGGTTGTTTAATGTATTACAATTACAATTATTACAATTACAGGCTCTTGCAAAGCCTGTGCAAGTTACTGGATCACAGAAAGAAATGTAGGAGAACCATCTTAACCATCTGTTAGTCAAGTGAGGCCTAGAAAGACTTGTTTTCCCTGAAAATTTCTCTGCATATGTAGGGCATCTGTGGAAAGGGGGGGGGGTATCAGAAAAATCAGGGTAGGGCTCATGATTGTGCCACTGAAGCCTCACCCCTTTTTACATGCAGCGTATGTGTGATGCATATAAAAAAGAGGGGGTTTTGATTGTACAGTTGTGGCTGCTAACTTGATTTTTTGACATCCCTCCCCTTCCCCACTCCCCCGAAGACCCTTATTTACTGTTGTTAAACAGCGAGCGGGTGGTAGTTCTTGGAGACCAGCTGGTATTCTGAGAGGATTGACCAGACTACCTCGTACATTTTTTTTCCCTTGCTTTGGAGGTAATTTTTTTTTTTTATTCTTCTTCTAAATAACATTTGGTGGGTTTCCTGCTTTCCTTTGAGCATCCTATCTTCTAATCTCACCAAGCTCATCCTCAGCATGGTCAGTCTGAAGACTTTTGAAGCTGATTCTCCAACAGCTTAACTTTACATGGGGAAATTCCTTCTTGGTTCTCAACATTCTGACCATTGATACTGTTTCCCCCTTTGAGTAAAGGATTTTCTCCCCTCCACCCTATTCCACTTAATGCCACTTGGAGTCCCCCCAAAATAAAGGGAAATTGCCCACAGAATAATGTCTGGCCATGTGGTTGGTCACTTGACTTGGCAGCAACTCATGCAGGGGTTCAACAGACCACCTCCAGGACAGGAGTTCAGTGGTACTTCTGTATCAGTCATCTTTGCATCCACTCTGGTTGGACCATTCCAAAAAGCATTGCAGAATTGCTTGCTGTTTTAAAAGAAGGCTGCCTTTATCTTGGATCCTGTCAATCCAAGATAAATCAGAATGTCTTTCTCTTGAGAAGGCTTCCATCCTGAGTACAGGGGAGACAGGTGGTCATTCTGGCCTGTGGATTTTCTTACATGCTCAAAAGTGTAATAAACCAAAGTGTTGTGTTACTTTGTTTTTAATTGTTGCCGAGCCAGGAGAGTCCTATTGTGAATATTCTGCTTCTTGAAAAAGGTGTGCTTATTGATGACTTGCTATGTGGGGGGTTGTTTTGAAATGATTTTTTTCTTTTTCTTTTTTCTTTTTTCTTGCTTGAAGAGCAATATTTCTCTCAGCTTTTATCTTAGGGTGAAAAATGCTTGAGTGTGAAAGGGTGATAGCTGCAAGATTTTAAGGGGCAGCCCATTGATTTGTAAAAACGGTCTGTAATTTTCAGCAAGCAGTAAAACTCATCCTGGAATATACCACTTGTTTGCATGTGTAAAAGTCCCTGTATGAGAAGAGGGGGTTGGTTGATGCATTAGAAATTTAGTCGAAACTTTCTACTAGTTTACTGTGTGGAATACTAGTTTTCTTAGGATAAGATGACTTAGACAAGGGAATATTTACCCCACAAATGCTCCTTCCAATACAGTGGTAAAATCTAGGCAGAGCTTTACTACATGCTCCCAGAGTTTGGTTTTTGTAGCAACAGTGTACCACGATCACTGTCCAAAGTGTTTCTGTGTAAATAAATATTGTTGCTTTAAGGTGATGTGTTACATGCTTATTTTCTAAAGTCCTTTGCAAGTTTTGCCTCTTGAAATTTAGTGGATTGGCAGGGAAAAGTGTTTGCCAGCAAAGACATGAACTGCACAGCAGACAGAGATCCAACAGGTTAAACCATCTTTGATACAAAGACAAAGGCTGGTGAATGACTGCTTTTTCTTCTGTAGCAATTTTTAGCCACTTTGAGGCCCCGTTGGATATTAAAGATGGGCAGACTTCACCCAGTTTGGGAAGGTAATAAGTTCTTTGCTCGCTTAAGATGGCTACGACATTAATCTGGATTGGAGCGATGGTTCAAAATGGTATTTGGTAAAATGGAAGAGATACAGTGGAAAGCCACAAGAAGTATTCCCAAACCGGAACTGATTAAAAGAACAGCATGCTTCTTAAGGACCATGCTAGATATGGCCAGACACCTTCAAATGGTGCAGAAGAAGACATCAAAATAACACCCTTTACCTGCATAAACATCTAGATCAACGTTTCTCAAACTCAGCAATGCTGGCTGGGGAATTCTGGGAGTTGAAGTCCACCCATCTTAAAGTTGCTGAGGTTGAGAAACGTTGCTCTAGAATACTTTTGTGTGTGTGGAAGTTCTGTTTCACTCTTATGGCTGATCTGCCTAATACAACAGATCAAAGGCATATTTCCATTAGGTAGACTTTCAAGGATGATGGACAGGTTTGGAATTTCAGGATGTTAGCACAGGCAAAATGGCTATGGTGGTCAGATTTACAAAATGGTAGATGTGACAGCCATGTCCAAGTATAAAACAACTGGTCTCCCGCTCTCTGCTACACTAGCTTATCCGTCACTTTCAACCAAAGTCCTGGGCTGTACACCATCACCATTTTGACTTTCCCAGAATGCATCTGGGACGCACAGAGAAATAAAGAGGATGCTAGGTCAGGGGCCCCCAGAAAGCTTGGACACCTCCAAAAGATGCTTCCTAAATCGTAACTGTTGAATGTGGCAGAACCAGAAAAGATCGATCGATCTAATTTATATAGCTGCCCATCTCATACATATGACTCTCGGCAGCTTACAGACACTAAAATAATGTAAAAACAACCAAACAATACAACTACTTAAAGCAGTGTTTCTCAACCTTGGCAACTTTAAGATGGGTGGACTTCAACTTCCAGAATTCTGGGA